AACAACCTGTTTTAAATTAAGGAAAACTGTCTGAAGAAATAAAACTGCCAGTCCTCCCCTTATATTCCAGTCTTCCATTTAAGTGAACCTCTTTGTTCATTACCAGGCCTTAAAGTTTTCCCTTTTGTAATTCCCAAATGCCCTTCTTAGCTTCAGGGTTGTCAAACTATTCCTCCCTCCTAGATTAAGAAAAGAAAAAGAGAATGTTAATAATTGTGGCATCCTACAGATTTTTGTGGTATAAAGAGGATAGAATTCCAGAGACAGATGGTGAAGATTCCCCTCAGGAATTACCTTCGGCATTTTGTTGCTATAGGCAAAATACTGAAATAGCTTATCTTTCCCATGGGATCCTGAAAGTTCAGAGACCAGCAGCCTACTGCTCACTTGGTCCTACTGGCTGCAGAATTTTGATGAGGCCATCTTTAGGCCGTGAAACTATACTTCCATAATAGCTCCCCTCTTGAGCTTACTGCTTTATTGTCTCAGCAAGCTTTGGACTTTGTTCACTAATGCTGCTGCTAATTCCATGTGCTGCTAGGTGAACTGACTGATGCCAGGATTCCCTGATCCACCAGTGCAGGGTTAGCCATTCATGGGTTGTATGTGGCTGCTATTAGGTCTGGATTTCCCCAGAGCACTCCTGGAAAGGGTGGCCCAATATTCTTGTCCTTTTGAGAAGGAATGGAGGGGAGGGTTAAAGAGCAAAATTAAAGAACCCCTTGAAAAATCTCCAACTCTTCTGCAACTTCCATTTTGAGAAGAGGTAAGGGAAAGTTGGTGTCCCTTACGGGGGGGGGAGGGGGAGGTTAACATAATTAATTAATTTAAACTTGTTTTGAGGACAAAAATTCATAAAATGTTTCATCTTCAAGCATATGCCAACATCTTCATGACTGACCTAAAACAATACTTTAACTCTTACCCCTGAAGCCCCTTCTATACTTAAGATTTATTGATGACATTGGACCCATGGAAATGAATCTCTCATAACATTTGATCATGACTTCAACAACTTCCACCCCAACATCAACTTCAACCTAGACTATCCACAGAACAAGTCTACTTCCTTGATGTTACCATAAAACTATACAATGGTTACATAAATACCACATTATAAGTAAATCTACAGATCACTATGTATAACTATATGCTTCCAGCTTCCACCAAATCTATCATCTATACCCAGGCTCTACACTACAATTGCATTTGTTCTGACCCACCTGATAGAGATGCTCAACTGATAGAATTAAACCAGCCATTCAAGAGAGTGGGTACCCATTCAACGAGATCAATAGACCAATCAATAGATCAATTTCCAAGGAGGACCTATTAAAAGACAGATCACAGAAATAGAACAACAGAACACCACTGGTGTCACCTACTTGCTCATACTTGCATACAGACAGCCATCCAAATTAAAAGAGATTTTCACAAGCAACAAGAAACAACAGGACAATGGGAACCAAACCCTGCAACAAACTCAGATGTCTTTGTTGCCACATCTATTCCAGCAGCACCATCACAGGCCCCAACAAGTACACACACAAGATTAGACGAGCTTTCACATGGTGTTTCTCTAATGTGATATATGCCATTATCTGCCAGCAAAGTCCCTCTGGATTCTACGTAGGACAAATAGGACAAATGTTGTACAAAAGAATTAATGGACACAAATTTGACATTAGGACAAAGTTGTATCAGAGTTCAGCCTCCCACAACACACTATAGCAGACCTCAAAGTAACTATTTTGGAAAACAGAACTATAATTCCACCATTGAGCAAGAGGTTGCTGGACTCACACCAAAATATTTCAGTCCATCTTAGAAGGTCTCAATAAACATACTGGGTTTTTAACAGATTGGAATTGTTAATTGATAAGGTACTAGTAACCTGCATCTACATAGCCAACCTGTCTTCCCCTCCCTTCCACCTCTAGTGCCTTATCTCTTTAGGACTTCCCATACAGAAGTGCTGAGAGAAGGCTGTTGAATCTAGTCCTTAAAAAGAACTTCAACTGTGATGGGGAGATTAATGAATTGATATAATTAGCTGGCTTCCATCTGGAGTGATTAAACCATGCTGAGACAGATTCAGGAAGAATACCTCTTTCATTCTGATAATGTCCAGGAGCTGCTCTCCAAAATTTCTCTTAGTCTGAGCGAGTTCAAGAAACTGTGAGAACTCAGAAGAAAGGCCACAAGGAGCAAGTTATTTTTTAGAATTACTTCTGATTGTGAAGATTGAAATTTATCAGATTGGATGGATGACATCAGACCAGCTGAGAAATAGTGGCACTTGAACTGATAGTAATCATTAATAGCCAAGCTCTTAACTGGAGCATCTTTTGGCCAATCTCAAGCCTCAAGATCACATTAGATATGCCTTTGCACTACTTTCACTGGCCTGTAACTTGGATAACTTCCTATCTTTATGAGAGAGGGTGCCTGGGTCTTTATTCAGACAATATACCTGAGCTTTGTCACTATGGCAAACTGTAGCTCCTGTACAGCTGTCTCATCTCGTTCATCGTCTTCTCATGGCTAGATTCCATCACATCAACTCTTGGTTCTTGGTAACTGCATGGACAGATCCAAGCAGCTTTCTGGTTACCGTTTCCAGAAGGAGTGTGCCAGTACCTTCTTCCTGTTAGAGAGAGGACTGGCCTAAAGTCACTCAACTGGCTTCCATGCCTGAGGGAAGACTAGAACTCAGGTCCCCCTGCTCCTAGTCTAACACTGTAACCAGTGCACCAAACTTTATCATATATAAAAGACACATTGTGCAGCTTCCTGTCTGTTTTTATTTGCTCTAGTGCAGTGTTTCTTAAACTTTTTTCTCTCAGGACCCTTTCCCACTTAAAAAAATTATGAAGGACACCAAAAGAGCTTTTGTTTGTATAGGTTATACTTATCAATATTTACTTTATTAAAAATTAAAATTGACGCACTTGCTGCCACTACCGCTTCTCATATTGTTTGATGGGATTTTACTATTGCATTATTTTTCAGCATAGGCTGGCAAATATTTTTGATCTCACAGACCCCTGAGAGGGTCTGGGGGGACCCCCACTGGTCCTTGTACCACACTTTGAGAAACACTACTCCAGTGTATGCACTTGGATACAGATGTTGGAGATATAAACTGGAGATATAAAAGCAAAAATTAAACTAAAGGGGTAAGTAAGAGAGCAAGATGAGGGAGAGCAATAGAAAGAACTTGAGGGGGAGGAGTTTATGCAGTCCTAATTATGCCATATGCAGATGGCATGCAAGATTATGGCTCAGTAATGGAGCACAACCTTTGCATGCAAACGATCCCAGTTTAATCACCAACATCTCCAAGTAAGGCCCTTGAGCTGCTGCCAGTCAGGGTTGGCAATATTGGGCTAAATGGAATCATGGTCAGATGTACTAAGTTTCCTGGATTCCTAACAAAAGTCTTGAGGACGTCACAGGATATATTCCGCCTGCACAGATACCTTCAGAATGTCTTCCCTGGCTAAATGAGAGAGCTGGGTTGTCAGTCTCTTATGACATAATGCTGACAACAGTAAAGAAGTTCCTGCAGGGAAATCAATAGAGAAATGGCCTGTGTCAAGTCTGTGAATTGGAATTCGATTCAGAGTCTGTGTTTGCACAAATTAATGTGGTTACTGAAATGACCCATTTTCCGGTCTATGCCCCAAACTATAAACTCATAAAATATCCTCAGTTCATACAGCACACCAAGCCATCAAAAATCTAATAAGGGCTAAATTTAAGCAAGCTTAGCATGTTGTGTAAATGCAGCCACTGGGTTTGTAACTGACCTGGTTAACTTGTTGCGTGCATACAGCTAGTGACTATACAAAATTCCACTGCTTCTTCCTATGGTCACAGTACAGATCAGATCTATGTGCACAAGCTGCGTGCATTTCAATGAGGCTTAAAGAAAACCTTAGATGGGATTCCAATTTTAGATGTCTGTTACAGATGTCAATCTTCTTTATGAAGGCAAGTAATCAGTACTACTTCTGCAAACTATTTGCTGAAAAGGCACTATCAGATGTTAGCCTTCTAAATTCTTCTGACCATATTTCTTGATACCTTGGAAGATGTTGGCATCAGCCAACTCTTTTGCTGGCAGTGGCCATCAAAGGGAAGATTCAAGTGAACAAAGTGTAATTTTAATGTGGTGACCAGCTTATCAGGAGAAAGTACTTTTTTCCCACTGAAAATTGGAATGGTGAAAAATCAGATTTTTTACATGAAACACTGCATCTAGTAAATATCTACAGAAATCTCTTAGTGGTTGGGGACTTCAGGGGGAGGTATGGCAAACTGAAGATATTTCCGCAAAAGCAGAGCTGACAACCACGGCAAAGACCAAGGAAACAGTGAGTAGACCAGTCCCTTGGAATCTCTCTGGATAAGGAGAGGATGGGAGATTGCCTACATGTGCTCCGGACGGCTGCTCCTTGTGAGGAGACTGCAGGACAGTGGTCCTCCATGGATCTGAGTGCTGGGCGATGAAGGGATCAGCCACCTTGCTCACGACCATGGCAGAACCTTTTCAAGGACACTAAGTTCACATACCTCACTTTCTGATCACTTTCAGAAACTGCCTATTAACCATCTTAATGCTATTAGAAATTTCTTAGTGGTTGGGAAGCTCTTTTCTCAATTTCTATCCAAATCCCTCCAAAGTATCCTTGAATAAGGATGGTTGCAAAGACCATTTTAGTCTCTATTAATCTCCAAACTGCCCTTGGAAGTGCTACAGGTTATTTCTGGAGAGAGGCGAAAATGAGGAGCAGTTGTTCATGTGGTTGTCTGGAGTCAATTCTGATTTGATGGCACTCAGCCAACTAATCTATAGACCAGGGTAGTATTCTTCCTCGCGTGCCCTCTTGTGTTCTCCCCTCAACCTTTATTTCCGAGATCGGTGAATGCTTCTGTTGTGTGAGACCTACAGTATAACCACTACAGTGCTGAGGTTACAGCACTATAACCTTTACCTGAGGTTTTCAGAACTGAATTCCGATTCCAAAAATCGAAGAAACTGGTCACGCCCCACAGGATCTTTCAACACCTCATCTATAGAGAAGCCCCATCTTTTGACCCGATGCTGGGAAGGCTCTTTGCTAAGTAAAGGGATAGAGAGGAAACCATTGTAACTATCAATGGGTTTTTCCTTGTCAAATCTTCAAATATTCATTTGGGATGGTTCAATTGAAAATATCCACCAATAGGATTACAAGTTAATGAAACTGGAGAAAATACTTGTAAATACCCCTTTGATTTCTGAGAGCAAGGGAATCTGTATGTCTGAAAACTGATGATATGCTTCCTTGACAGAATCTCAGAAAAGAAAGAAACATTGGATAGGTGGTACTTATGAATAAAAGGCTGATATTAAAGAAAAACATTGTTTAGAACATCAAAAGCACAAGACAGCATTTTTCTACCCAGAATACTCCTCCAAACTTTTGTTAAAGGATAGCTATGATTTGGGGGGAGGGGGGATGTAATAAATACACGTCTATTATATGTAATGCATCATGTGATCAGCACAGACCAGTCATCCCCTCTGTAAGTCATGCTATGACACAAGGGTACAGCTATAGTTTGACCATTACAGTTGACTTACAGAAAGTAAGGGCTCCTCCTTTTTCAAATGAAAATCTAGGATTGTACCCTAAACATATTAACCTGGGACTGAGTGTTACAAAACTGAACAGGGCTTACTTCTCAGTAGACAACTATAGGATTGAACTATGTTGCTGAATTTGTGCATCTTGCTAAGTCCTGATTTGGGGGTTTTTGGCCTACTTCCTATAAAACACTAAGACATACAAGCCAAAATGGCTAGATGTATACATTATGATAAGCATGATGTGGTTTAGTTTTTGATTGGAGCAGTGTTTGATCCCATCCTATGAGTGACACTGTACAACCACATACTTAGATGTGCATTTCTTATCTAACAGCAAGCAATGGATAACAATATTTATATATTCTTAATGGTTATATCTTTGCTATAATGAAATAATATTATATACATTTTGGTTGAAGGAATTGCAGCTGCAATGTCTCCCACGTTTTTCTTTTTTTAATTTCATACCAAGGCAATGTGAAGTAGAAAGAATACTAATAGTCTACCTATCCACTACATACTGCCTTTATAACAAAAAAGACTATGGTAGAAAAAGACAAAATGTTGTAATGTCTTACAAATAAACTGGTATCAAACAATGGTTGTGATTTCATATGAATAAACTGGTGTCATAAATACAGTATGCAATATTACATGTATATAGAATCGCTGTTCCACGGATTGTGGAGTTTTTAATCAGCAGTAGATCTTCCTTGTGGAAGTGATTTCTTCTCAAGGTGTGGGGAAGTGGGAACCCATTAAGCTTTCTTGCAGTGGGAGCATTCTGTGCCCAGAACATGCCCCCAAGGTCCCTAGATCCAATCTTATGTAAATCATCCTCACACAACATGCTAAGCATGGCTTAATGTTAACCACGGTTAAAGTATTCACCCACCAAAATGTCACAGGTGATGGAGCACAGCCAGCTAGAACTTTTAGTCATAATTCTGGTTGGTATTCCAGCAGCTTTACTTTCTGATCCCCTTTGTTCTCAAACTAAAGCATCTATATCCTCTACAGGAACAAAAGCAGATCTTTTTGCTCCCTGCACTGCTTACCTGGAGGACTAATGGCTGCTTAAGCATAAACTAGCCATTAATCTTGGTTCAGAAGGTAGTTAAGTTAGTTAATATATGGTAAACCATGGTTACTGATAGTTAAGGCACTGCTCTATCATCACAGCTTGTAAGACTTGGCAAGCCGTAAGTATCGTAGGACTTAGCATTTTGCGCAAATGGATATTGGCATGCCTTCCCATTCTTTGCAAAGCTCTGCATAAGATGACAAGAAATGTTATAAGAGCATGGTGAAATTGCTACACAGAGAGACAGTTCTAGTAGGGGTGGAGTCAAATGACATTTGGTTTGGTCATACTAAGCTCTTCTGCTATAGCTTGCCATTATTTTATCCCATGGGGTAAGGCAATCTGGTGCAGGGTTACCAGATATTCCTTGCTGGGGGCAGCAAAGTCATATAGAACACTTTGACTCTTTGCTGCCATCTAGTGTACATCTGGGTTTTGCAGCACACATCTGGCAGCCTTTGCTTTAATGCAGAACAGAACGACGTTCCATTTAAAAAGTGTTAATTTTTTACCTTGTTTCTAAGTCCCAAAACACAGAGTCATCATTTATCCAGGGATTGGAAGGTTCCGCAGGAGTTATAAAGGGGTCATAATCAATGTACTGATCTGAATAAGCAATTAAACTGTAACATGAAAAAAGAAAATCAAATACACTGGTGAAAGTTTTAAAAATGCTTTAAATGTATTTTGTATTTCTACACATTTGAAAATCAAAAACAGGGCTGCTGGTGAGAAGTGGTTTTCTCTTGAGACTGTCACGGAAAGGCTGGTGTTTTATCACCAGGCATTAGAATCACGATATTTCATAACTAACAGAAGTTCTAGCAATTCAGCCTCAGGGTCTTTTGGCCCTCGCTGTCTGATCTCATTTCATTAACTGGATTTCATGACCATTATAGATTAGGAGTCAGAAGAGGGAAAAGCTTTCACTTTGGGATATATGCAGCAAATGAAGCAATGGGGGAAATGGAAAAGAAAAAGAAAAGAAGGTACCAGCGTTTGTAAAGGCTAGTGGGAACTGGACAAACAACACCACTGTGAATGGAATGTTTTCTAATGAAATGGTAAGCAATGCAGGAAATTAAGAATAATGGCAAGAACAGTGTAAGCTGTTTATTTCAGTCATTTATTTCTTTTTCAGTGTCCGGTGAGAACATTTTGAATCCACGAGCCATTTGAAGGTTCTTGTTGGTTTAGCTTTGCTATATTAAAGTTTCCTTGTTGCTAGTTTTATTAATTCATTTAGTTGTAGTGTGGTTTCATTTGTTTTTGCTTGTGTATGACCTTCTTTGTCTTCCATCATTTTTCATATTTACTGTTTGAATGAATGGATTCTTATTATGGCAAAAGGCCAGCAATCACATTCATTTTCTTTATGCATATCCAATCGTTGTTAAGTGGATAAATACAGAAATTTGCACTCCTGAGATCCCTAGCTCATTTCACAAAGCTCCAATTGCTAATTCATAGAAACAATTAGTTTATGTTGATCTAGGTATATCCTCTGTTTATCAGAATTAATAAAGTACACAACAGGAAACAATGCCCACATTATATCAATATTGACATGTTGAAATGTAGGTATGGTTACAGCTTAACTAAGGAACTCAAAGCAGTTTAACATGCCATTTTGCATACCAGTCACTAGAGGTTGTTCCAATCCAAGCTATCCATACATATATACCTACCTAACTACCTACCCATATACAATTCAAGATATCCAGTACATACATAAGTAGTGCAGCTAGGATGAGAGTATGTGCTTGGCTGACAAATAAGCAAGGACAAATATGCAGGGTTTATGGCTGATGTCATGTTTTTAAAAAGCATGGTTCAGAAAAACCAGAGCTCCAAAGAGAATTCTGCTTTCTGATCTCTTTGCAGCCACAAGAGAACAATGTGGAAAAGGGAAGGGCAACCAGTTTAACCAGTCTGAGGCTCACACACATGACAGTAAACAGTAGTTTGGTATTCCATCCAACTTTATTTTATCTCAAACATCACTGGTGACATTTTATCTTATATATTTCTCTCATCAAAGCATAGTTGTAATGGGCAGATTATTTCAAGATGATGGAATCTGTTGAGTTGTGTGTGATGTATGAAAACAGCCTTAGACTGTAATTCTAAATTGCATTTTTGTTGTTTGTAGAAGCTCTTAATGAATCTGAAACGGCTAATTTTGGTTGAGAACACGTGAGCCACAACTACCCTGATTTTTATGGTTGCATCCAAAAATTAAGTTCTTTAAATTTGGAAACAATTATATAGAAACCTGCTGTAATAGAATATAATGGACATGAAGTAGAAAATCCTAGTTTGAGCAAACTCTCTAAAACGTGATTGCAAACTAGGATCAAACTGCTGAAGTAGTCTATTAAACCAGCATATACACTATTGGTGGGAGGAAGCTTGTATACATAGGCAGCTGGTTCCTGAGGTTTGAAAGCATGCTTTTGCAACTATCAGAGGAAGCGATGGTGTTAGCAGAGAAGCATTATAGCAACAACAGTGACAATGACATGAATTGGAGTGCTTACCTTTCTGCTACTTTAGACATTTTTAAACAATGCCTGTCTATCTGAACATTCAGAAATGTTATCTGAAGAAAAGAAATGAAAACAGCTCTTGAAGAAACAGCTATACTCAGCTACATAGACGTGTAGTTATGCCGTCGATTTTATTTGATGGTTCACATGATTTGCATCATAATACACTGAAAGCTATGGACTCTAATCCAAAGTTTCCAGGTACTCTGCTCTACATTTGAAGTGCATTTTCAGCTTTGATTTTCCCCATCAACTTTAAGTAATTTGTTCTTTTCTGCTTTATGTTGCAGATGTGCATCCCTCAAACCATGTAGAACCAAAGGGGATGGTAGCAAGGAGGGTGAAGGAAATGGTTCAGCTGATGTACTTGTTGAATGCCCCCCATAACTGTAATTATTGGAAGAAACAAATTTCTAATTTCTTATTTACTCAAGACTATGTCCCACATCTATGGAAATATTTTTTTTAAAAAAAATATCAATCCATTTCTCAAATGCAAAAGACCAGTTTCAAAGCCAATTAGCTTACTTGCTTTCGGACGTCATCTTTTGTTGTTTTGCGAATTGGTTGGGAAGGGATATGTGCAGGACTTTGGGACTGACTATCTTCTGTCACTCCATAAACTGACTGTAATAAAAAGTTGAGAATAATTTGGTACATAAGAGCAGTAGAGAGAGGTTACACACCCTTAAATGGTTAATGATCATATGTGTTCAAAAGGAGGATGAACAATCTCTTCCCTAATGGAAGAGTGGCCAGAGGAGAAGAAGATGGAAGAGGAAATAATACATGGATAAAAATCCTGTGCAACGCCCAGTTCCCCACCTTGCCCACCAAGGATGGCCAGCGTTGATCCTGGAGTTTTTTCCATCCCAATAAATGTGTGCATGTGTAACACTTACATGTGTGTGTGTGTGTGTATGTATCTGCCAGAAGTCATATTCCAAATAAGGGCAAGGCCAGAACAACAACAACAAACAATTAAGAACTAATTGAAATGAGTTATTGATTAAAATTAATTGCTTGTCAAATGAGCTACCCTATTTATAAAATTATCTATCAATCATTCTCTCTCACACACAAACCATTCCAGAAATGCACAATACTCACACATACTCCCCTTCTTCCAGCAGAAACTGTAAACATACAAGAGGAAAAATATAGGAACGATGTGGGCCAAGGAGAGGGGGGAACTGTGCTAAGAAGGAAAGAAAAAGGAGAGTGGAAAACTGAATGCAGATTAAATGAAGGGGAGATGCAATCGAATAGGGAAGGAAAATAAACAGAGCAAAGTCCTGTGTGGGTGTTACATTCAAGAGACAAGCAGCCCCTTTCTAGCAACAGCTAATTTTAAAAGGCATCCAAACTTTTCAGCAGAAATGTCCGCAATCCTTTGCATTTTATTCTGTTTTCAATCATTTCTTCTGTTAAATAATTATTGGGGGAAAACCCTGTAGCTGTTTCAGGCTGAGAACCCCCATCTTTTCTTACTCTTGTGTCTGCCTTTCCCTTAATGGCCTCCACCACCAATCAAAATAATAAGAGAGAAATATTTGTCTCTTTTTTTTCTTTAATAAGATAGAGTGCTGGTGGAAGCTGAATCTCCACATGATGAAGCACCTAGCTTGGGTGGTAAGGAGCAGTAGGTAAAACTCATGCTGCTAGAAATGGATGAGCTAAAGGTAGGCTGGTAGATTGGGACTGCAAAGATCTGGATGAAAATTCTAACTCTGTTGCCATCTCATGGTTATCAGGATCCGCGTAACCTAAACTGGTAGTTCTAACTAAAGTCCTTATACCCCATGGACTAGAATGGGACTGGATAATGAACATAGCTTCAGACTGTTATCATGAATATATATCCATTATTTTCTGCAAAGAACAGATATATGTGTATATTTGAACAGAAATTCTAGTCCTGGAAAACCCAAAACAAATAACCGTTTTGCAATTACTGTAATTATAAAAGTGTATATATATGAGAGTTGAAAACGGTGATTTGGAATGGATATTATATACAAAAGAAAATTAGTATGTGTAATTATATCCATTTTTTCTAGATGTAATCACAGGATATATAAAGACATTATGTTTATCTCAAAGGCCTTTGGATAACATCAAAAATAATAATTTCATGTCAGTCCATAAAGATGTATAAACAAACTTTACACAAATATTTGCCTGTAATGTTCTGAAGTGAGGGTTATTTTTCATTAGACTGATGTCAACACCTTAATATAGATCAGCACTAAATATATCCAGTAAAATTCTGAAAGTCTCATCTAGCATGGTTTATAAGTTCTTTGGGGATGAGATGAAAAGGCTTGCCTTTTTGACCCTCTGTGGATTCTTCATACGTCGACACTTTCTGATGTCCATCTCTGTTGTATTCACACAGCCCGGCTAGGAAAAACACACATACAAAATTTTTAATTTTGTGTAATGTTCGTACTGCCTTTCATCTTCTACAGATCAACAGTTCCAAACTCTGACTCGGTGTGCAATTAGAATTGCATTTTTTAATCTAAAATTTGGAAGTACATTTAAAAATCATAGCAGGCCATTATGAGGCACAGTCCAGCACAAATTAGGTTTCACTGAAGCTCAGTTTCCAACAACACAAGAGACAACTCTACACATGGACATCACCAGATGGTCAATACCGAAAC